TATGAGTGTTCCTGTTCATTGATAACATGAGTACATGGCATGTTTACTGTAACTACAATTATGAATGAATGGGGGTGATGTAGATCACTCCCATTCATTCATAATTGAGGATATAGTTAACATGCCATATCCTCAATTATGTACACACACTCAGCGATCACTGATCACTGAGTGTGTGTACATTGCTCTTCTCTCTGACACGCTGTGACAGGAGGCTGATCGAGCGGTGTAGAGAGGAGAACCCAGCCTCCTGTGACAGTTCTGTCTCCGCCCCCACACCGCTCTGCCGGACTGTGATAGGCGGCTGAGCGGTGTGGGAGGAGAGATGCCGCAGCTCACAGCGCTCTCGTCCTGACTCCTGCAGCGGTCGGCGGCTGTCACTTTCTTTTCTCCCCGCTGGAACAGCGCCCAGCGGGGAGAAAAGAAACCAGGGATGACCCGATGTATCGGCCGAAACATGGCTCTTTCAGCATTATGCCAAAAGTGCCATTTTCGGCCGATATGTTTCGGCGGCCGATATATCGGTGCATCCCTAGACTGTAGCAATGAGGAGGTTTTTCCCCCATTATATGTTTGTTTAACTTTTTTTATTTTCTATTCTTTGTTTTTAGTCCTACAAATACTGATATAAAAGGAACCTATATTTGCATCTCCATTGATTTATATAGGTTCACTAAATTTGTCTAAAGGTGTACCACACATCCTCACCAGCTAACAGTAGTCTTTAGATTACTTGACTGTTATTTTATGTGTTGTCCTGCAATTTTTTTTAATCTAAATGTTCTAGCCTCCTCTGCTGACGAGTTGTTGTTCATGCATGTCAACTATATTTCTAATAAAAGCCATTACACAAGACCATAATTAAAGAACCCTGCAAAGTAGTGGATAAGGGGGTACTCTAACAATCGTGAGCATAAATGCACAGTACAATACAAATATATTATAAATGTGCTCATATGTAAGCATGCTGTTCAGTTATCCCTTTTTATGAGCATTTCCTTATCCTATCCAGTCCTGCTAGCTGTCTGCTCTCTGGTCTGGGTTTTAGATGATGTGGGTAAACATTCTGCTTCTAAATTCTTATTTATTCTTTATAAAACATGAGCAGTCAAACTTGCTAGAGTAGAATGGGACCATCGATAAGGCGCTTAATCAGATTTACAAACCTAAGTAAGAAGTGAGACACCGGCACTCCAATTGCAAATTAGAAGCGTCTGTTTATTGACGTAAAATCAGCATAAATACACTCCGTGCAACATTTCGGGGTCTCAAAAGATCCCCTGCATCAGGCAGCACCCTATTCTACTACTTGGAGAAAGCGATTTTGAGTGCTATGGGTTCACTGACTGTATCCAGATTTACAAACCTGCTTCGCTTCAGTACCCCACCTGATATATGTGGCTGTTGATCAATTTATGATAAACTTGTAATTTGTATAAAATTTAACTTTTGGCTTTCCAAAAGTTAAGATAACAGAGAACTGCATTTTTATGTTATGTATGTAAACCAGCAATTGGGAAAATTACAGGCTGTCTGGATTTGCTGAACAGTGTGCATGGCTGGTGTGTATGCCCTTACCACTTGCAGCTTTTGAATTGTATAAATGCATTGCTTATTCTAATAATACACAGGGAATCTGTCTTGGAAGTTTTCTCAGTTATGCTCTATTAAGGTTTTCTTGATCACTGGAAAAAAAGGTATAGTTTGTCTAAAACAAGTTTAATCTCTAAACATTCAGAACTTTTGAGCCGCTTTTGATGTTTCTATAATGTGAAAAGTAAAGACTCTGTCTTCCACTTTAAACCAGAAGTGCACCCATGATCTAGAGCCCTCTGTGTAGACATGTAGTGGAGTCCCCATCTATACTCTACTTTCTCTGCACTATGATTGTGATCATTAGGGCTTCCTTTATGAATCCTGGTATCGTGCCTGGTAACCACTTCATTAAAACCCATTTCTGGGATAACCAAAAATCTACCCTTGCAGTGGGGTTACCCCTCGCACTACAAAAGTTAAGTGCTCATTTACGTCTTGGGCTTGATGTAAAGTAGATTCACAGACTGACTGTCATCGCTGTCCTTTTCTCCGGCCGGTGGAATGTCCCTCTGCTGTATTTGGATCACTGGAATCGAGGACAGAAGATTCGGTCTAGCAGCCTGGGGGAAGGTGGTTGGAGCAAGGATCAGGTAAGTAAAGCTGCTTTACTTCAGCCCCTAGACATAAATGAACTAATGGATTGTTAGTGCTCGAGATGGGAGTGAGCTACTCCACAGAATCATCTGGATCAAGAGTTCACTTTCATTTTGAAGTGGAAAGCTTCTTTAGGGCTTGTGTTGATGCGCTTTTGTTTGCTTCAAGTGGGATTTCCATATTCATACAAGTCTATGGTAATGCAAAATACATGAAGCGGGTCAGAAGGAGGTCAACTGCAGGTTGAATGCACCTGTTGATAAATTCTGAAGCATCTCAAACTGATGCCATCGACGCAAGTCCACAGTGTTGACACTGACCCTTCAGGGGTGTGGAATTCGTATCGCCCGACGCCCAGGACATGTAGTTCCGGGCAAGTGCTTTTTTCACTGTTTTAGCCCTGCCATGGACAAGTAGCAGGGCTGGTTTTCTTTTCTTAAAATGAGCTGGGGGACATGTAGCGCCAAGAGCGGGGGGCGGGAACCGAGCGTGGAGCGCTGAGAGCAGGGGGGCGGAGCGGGTGGCGTGGAGTATTGACAGGCTCTGCCACCTCCCTCCCGCCTCCGTCCTGGGCGGCCGCTGCTCGTTCCTGTCACAGGAGTTCTAGCAACAGCGCCTGCTAGAACTCCTGTGTTGGAGGTGACAGGTTCAATAAAGAGTACCGGTCACCTCCGAATTGTTAACCCCTGTGTGTAAAGCAATACAGTTAAGTTTA